GGTGAGCTCCACAGATATAGTCCCAGGGCTGGGCACTGGCCACTTAGTCTGGCTTGGTGGACTGATGGATGGGGGAGAGTTCTTGGCACTGCAGCTGCTTCTTTGAGTACAGAGCAGAAGCCTATCCTGAAAGGTGCAAAGGGAGCAACTGTGTTAATCAGGTGCTCAAGTCCCAGGTTCTTGGAAGTCACAGGAGCCCAGGTAACACTCTCATCTGGATCCTTTCCCTCAAGCAGGACAAAAAGCTGCTAAGCACTGCTCCTTCCAGCTGTGTGAAGAGATCAGCTTCTCAGAGGTAGGCATTGGTGCTGTTGACTACTCCCATTTTCTGCAAAGGTGTGAAGATGATGCGTGTGCACCTGTTTTGAAACACAGAACTATAGATCAGTGTTTTAGAGCTTGAGCGTCACTGTCAGTCTGGATTTAAATGCCAGCAAAGCTTTCCTCTTACTATCGTGTGATTAGTTTCCTAAGATGTGTGCACCTTAGTTTCAGCATGGGTAAAGTGGGATTTGTGATAGTTGCTACCTAGTTACATGATTAGAGTAAATATAAATGTATATATGCAAGTAAAGTGCCTAGAATAGTGTCAGGTACATAAACTTTAAACATGTCATGCTTTAAAACAGCAACTCAGAGTGGCGCCTGTGGTTCAGTGGGTAGAGTTCAAACGTGGCTCAGGCCAAACTGCAACAAAAAATAGATGGGAATTGCGGCGGCCGCCTATAGTCCCAGCTACTTGGGAGGCTGAGGCAAGAGATTCGCCTAAGCCCAGGAGCTGGAGGTTGCTGTGAGGTGTGACGCTATGGCACTCAGGGCGGCGCCTGTGGCTCAAAGGAGTAGGGCGCGGGCCCCATATGCCAGAGGTGGCGGGTTCAAACCCAGCTCCAGCCAAAAACTGCAAAAAAACCCCCCAGCAACTCAAGCCAGGCACCATGGCTCATACCTGTAATCCTATCACTCTGGGAGGCCAAGGTGGGAGGATCCCTTGAGCTCAGGAGTTTGAGACCAGCCTGAGTGAGAATGAGACCCTATCTCTACTAAAAATTGAAAAACTAGCTGGTTGTTGTGGCAGGCACCTATAGTCTGAGATATTCAAGGAGGCTGAGGCAGGAGGATCACTTGAGCCCAGGAGTTTGAGGTAGGCTGATGCCATGGCACTCTACCCAGGGTGACAGAGTGAAGACTGTCTCAAAAACAACAAGGGGAAGAAACATTCATCAACTCAAAGTAAAATAAACTGCTAGCTATAGGCTGGGTGCCTGTAGCACAGTGGTTACAGTGCCAGCCACACACACCAGGGCTGGCGGGTTTGAAACCAGCCCAGGCCTATTAAACAACACTAACAAATGCAATAAAAAATAGCCAGGCGTTGTGGTGGGTGCCTGTAGTCCCAGCTACTTGTGAGGCTGAGATAAGAGAATCGCTTAAGCCCAAGAGTTGGAGGTTGCTATGAGCTGTAACATCATGACACTCTACCAAGGGTGAAGAGGTGAGACTGTCTCAAAAAAAAAAAAAAATTGCTAGCTATCATTATTGTTGCTCCTTGAATCGATCTCAGTTCTCACAATCACTCTTATTGACCAAGTTCTGTAAAGGAAAAGTGCTTCTCTTACTCTTGTCCCTATCCCAGATCCTTCCACTTTTAACCATTGGGAAGTTCTTTCTGTGCCTAAGCTGTTTTCAAGCTGCAAGCTAGCCTTTGGTCCTCATTTGCAGGAAGAGGGAGCTCAGCACTTTACATTTCAGGCTGCTCTTCGAGGTGTTTCTCCCTCTCCTCATGCCCCATTTCTTCTTCTCAGAAGTCCATAATGTGAGCTCATTCATTAAAACACACACATTTATTTAACACCAACTTTGTGCAAGAAAGTGCTGGGAACTGGAAGTAACAGCTAACACATAACACAATTACAATGTATCAAGCTATGTTTCAAGTCTTTTAAAAATTATTATTATTTTGTTTTTGAGACAGAGTCTCACTACATCACCCTCGGTAGTGTGCCATGGTTTCACAGCTCATAGCAACCTCAGATTCTTGGGCTTAAGCGATTCTCTTGCCTCAGTCTCCAAGTTGCTGAGCCTAAAGGCACCGCCCGCCACAACACCTGGCTATTTTTTTCATTGCAATTGTCATTGTTGTTTAGCAGTCCTGGGCGGCTGGTGCCCTACCCACTGAGCTATGGGTGCCACCCTATCATTATTATCATTTTGAGACAGGTTCTTTGTCACTCTTGGTAGAGTGGTAGAGTGCTATGGCATCATAGCTCACAACCACCTCAAACTCCTGGGCTCAAGTGATCCTCTTGCATCAGCCTCATAAGTAGCTGGGACTACAGGTATCTGCCACAATGCCTGGCTATTTTTAGAGAGGGGATCTTACTCTTGCTCAGGCTGGTCTCAAACTAATCCACCCACCTCAGCCTCCCAAAGTGCTGGGATTATAGGCATGAGCCATCGCACCCAGCCTCTACTTCAAATTTTTTACACATTCATCTGCTCCTCACAGCTGCTCATTGAGATAAGCATGTTGTTATTCTCCATTTTTATTTTATTTATTTATTTTTGAGACAGAGTCTTTCTATGTCTCCCTTGGTAGAGTGCGGTGGCATCACAGCTCACAGTAAATCTCAAACTCTTGGGCTTAAGTGATTGTCTTGCCTCACCTTCCCAAGTAGCTGGGACTACAGGTGTCCACCACAACATCTGGCTATTTTTGTTGTTGTTGTTGCAGTTATCATTGTTGTTTAGCAGGCCCCTGGCCAGGTTCATACCCATCAGCCTCAGTGTGTGTGGCTGGCACCCTAACCACTGAGCTACGGGT